AATAAAATAAAATAATAATAATAAAATAAAATAAACGTTTGTCACCATAAGTCCAAAAGTTGACAACGTAAGTCAGATTACATAGGAATATGTTCTGTATATAAAGAAAATCATCACTTCCTTGTCATTACTCTTCTTCAGTGATAGAGCTTGGTAATGTTACAAACTGTTTAACACTGCCACCAACTGTTCAGGAGGATTATTACACCCCTAAAGMTTGTTTCACTGTGGAAGGGGTGTGTACAGCAGGGTGGCCAATGGGGTGGCCAAAGATTTATCTGTGGTGGCCATGGCCACCCCCTGGCTCCGCCCCTGGAACAAACCTGTCAGGAGGTGGGAGACTGCAGAGGTCCAGCTGTCACAGGCCTGGTTTCGTGCCGTCACCGTGACGTTGTATATCTGACTGCACTGAAGACCGCCGAGGAAGCAGCCGGTGTCGCTGGTGTCACAGGAGACCACCGGGACCTGGTCCCCCACAGCTCGGACAGAGTATGAGCCGGCACCATCCGCGGCGCTCCACGACACCCAGGCGGTGCTCACYTTGTAGGTGACGAGGACGTTCAAAGGAACGCAGGGCTCTGAGGAGACGTGGAGCCAGTCAGCTTRGTTCACATCAGGAGTTCTAAACACSTGACCGGATCTCACCTGTAGTGAGCGTGGCTGGAGCACTGACAGGACCAGAACAACCGCCCTGAATGCCCCCCACAACAACGGAGTACTGCTGACCACACATCAGGTTGTCGAGGTAGCAGGAGGTGGCCGCAGCATCACAGGAGGCYTTGTATCCAGTGGAGGAGGTCGCCTGGACTCTGTAGGCCGTGGCTCCAGCTGCAGCAGCGTTCGTCCAGCTGATCAGAGCGCTGTGGGTGGAGCAGTTCAGCTCAGCCGACACGCTGGTTGGAGGACACGGAGCTGAAGACGCAGAGGGAGAGAATTTAGAGAAAGACAGTGAGAAACAGCAGGAATTCAAGGCTGTTTTGTCCCAAAACAGTTGTGTTTATCTATTCGGCTGCCAGCAGCTTGGCCTCGACTGCCATGCTATAAACTCCCCGTAGATCATAGGTCAACAAGGGCTTGATTCCCTCCCACCCCCATCACCTGTGTTGGACCTGACCTGTGAACCCAAGGCAGAGGAGGAGGAGACTCTTYACTCTGGTGAACCGAGCACYAGACGGTAACATRATGGACTCTGGRGGGCCTAGYATRGGGTTCTAGCACGGAGAACCACCCTCAATGCCACCGGCTTCCACCTCGTGTGTTGCCTGACCTGAGCTCGCTCTCCTTCCCAGCTGTCTGCTCTGTTGAGAGCGTTATTTTTTTGTGCATGATTTTATGTTTCTGACGTGAATATAGGACCAGAGCAATTTTTTAAACTCATCTCTCCTATTGTGTATTTCCAGCTGCAAAAGGTAGCACGACCTGGTTGTGCATGACCTGTTTACCTGTTCCCCCATGTTTGTTATGTGTGTTTCTTGAACGGGTGTTCTAAACTGCAAGTTCCTAGTCTGTGAATCCTGTTCATTGACAATGGCAATAAAACTGATTCTGATTCTGAAAGAAAATGAGAAACACTGAACAAACAAATGAAGGTTAAATATATTCTAAATGTTAGACTACATTCTTATCTTCCTTGTCTTATAATAAGTAAAATAATGACAACCTGTTCTATTTAATTGCATATCTTTAATAAAATGTGCGTCTCATGGAAATTGTCAGTTACGAATTTTTGGAGTATGTCACACAACGTAAAGAAAATTATCACATAAAAAAGATACAGTGGCAATCAATGAGATGTGGGATTTTGAAAAAATGTAAATATTCATATGGACATTAAAGTTTAATGAGGTTAAATGAGAATAGGAAGTTGAACTACATGTCTGAATTAGAACTTTGATATATTATCTTATGATTATTTTTTACACATTTTAAAGTTTATCATATCTAGATGCCTTTTTTAACAGACTGATCAATAAATTTTTGATACATATATCAATTCTATATTAAAATATGTGAATTTTTTGTCTTCTTTCATTGCTTTAGGTTTTACAATCTCTCAAATTCCCCTCAAATGCAGAGGGGGCACACTTAACCTTCCAGTAATCGTATGTATATAAAAATATTGTCTTCAAAACTGGGAAGCAATGCTTAAAAAAATGTCTTAATGCCTTTAAAACGCATGCCTGGTGAAAACCAGTCCCTTGTTCTTTGCTTTGCTTCTTAAAGGGGAAACTAGAATTGAGCGGAAAAGGGTCAGGCTAATAAAACGTTGATGCATGAAAATTCAGAGTATCTAATCTGCAAATATTTTTTTATTAATGTCAGACATTTAGTTTTTGTGACTTGCTTTTCAGTCTGCTCCTGTCGGCCTTTTCATTCATCATCTTGGCAGTCAGGGAGTGACAGACAGGTCCGGGTTATCATGGTAACCATTATAAGATACTGATAGCGATTTCAACCTTTAGTTTGATCTTGATTCCCTTTCTACTTTTTATTTTTTTTAGTTTCTGAGAGTATTAATAATATTAACTGCAGTTTTCACAGATACAGTTATAAAAGTAAGCCTCGTTGTCGTACCGGTGTGCCTGTCTGTGAGCGTGACCATGTCGCTGATGCACACGTTGGTGTATCCCGTCACGGTCAGAGTGTAGAGCTGACCACAGCTCAGGGCCAGGAGGGAGCAGCTGCTCCCCGTGGACTCGCAGGTGGAGCTCACGCCTGCAGCAGACGTGGCTTTAACCGTGAAGTTCTGAGTCGTGTWGTTGTTGTCCCACTTCACTGTCATGACGTTGGAGCTGCAGTTCAGCTCGGCGGTGGGGTTCTCGGGTTTACAGGGGGCTGCGGGGAGGTGGGAGACGTTTRACTTCAACTGCTGCTTCTTCAGAAGTACGGATGCAACAAAAGCCTTCACTCACCGGACTGAACCTTGTAGTCAGAGCCAGCGAGGGCCTCGCAGCTCATGGACGTGGAGGTGACAGCCACCTCGTAGACCGCGCCACACTTGAGTTCGCGGATGGAGCAGTTGTTGGATGTGGTGTTACAGGAGAGGCTGTGTTGGTTTTCCCCGATGGCCCAGGCGGTGTACCTGTCTGAGGCGGAGGTRTTGTTCCAGTTCACAGTCATCCTGTTGTTGCTGCAGTCCAGGTCAGCCACAACACTGCCTGGCAGGCACGGAGCTGCAGCAGAGGAGTTAAAAACAATCAGCTGGTGTTTAATTATTACAATATATGTAAATTTACTTTTTGCACTTTTTAACACCCTTTAAAACCTAATCCACGCAGAAAAGTACACCTTCAGGATGTACAGTATAATCTGCACTGTCAGTCATTTTTCAGATCTATTTAAGAAGCAATTTCAAGCAAATCATTTCAAGCAATGTCTTTTTTATTGAGACAATTTCTGTAGGTATTTCTGCGTATTCTTTTTGTTGTTACATGTCTGGTAAATACTTCTAATGCTAAGTTGTTGATGTGATGCTAAAGGGGACATATCATGCAAAATCCAATTTTTTTACCTGTTAAATGCATTTTGTTGTGCACTTGAAGTCTCTAGGCATGCAGAAAATTGAATTTAGTCTTTCAGCTCGTGATGTTTTCTGAACTATTARGTCAAATTATCTGCGAGGGAACTGCCAGATAAGGTCTGAACTTACCAACTACAATTTTCTCTTCTTAATTCTCCCCTCGTTCTGGGTCACACTCTTGCTCCAACATGTACGTCTTTGTTGTTGACATCTTTTAAWTAAATTGTAAATAAAATGTTTCTGCACCACTAGAAAAATAACTAACTCCGCCCCTCTCTCAAACCAGAGTGGACTGGTCTGGAAGTCAAATGGGGGCGGGGCTTGAAGTGTCTAAAAGTAACAGAATCAACACCAGCTAAATTGAGACACATCAGAAAAAGGGTGAGGGGCTGCTAAGGAATTTAAGACCAAAGCATTGGAGTTCCACTTTATACAGACCTAACTGAATGACTTAAATGTGAAAATGAAGGATTTAAAAGCATGATATGTCCATTTTAAACTATGTGTTCTGAATAAATCTCAGCTAAAACCTCACAGAATTTTAGCTCATCTATAAAACTGACTGAGTTTCCGGGTCAGCTTACATCCATCAACTGTGGCAGAATTAAACTAAKTCTAAACYTTAATCAGRTGTAGATAATTATCCAATTCTAACTTTTTGATACTTTCATCAGAATCCATCCAGTGGATCATGAGATATTTTGCTAACAGACAACCAGGATTGACTCCAACAGTTAATGCTACATTTCTGAGCAAAGATCTTGTGCAATGAGCGGCACTTGAAGTATGTGTTGTAAATAGTTTTCAGCTACAATCACACTAAATATTAAAACYTMATCTGTAAAARTGACATAATTACAGCTGTTTATGTATTTTCTACGGTCAGTTGGTTGTGGGAGCCATTTTAAATTGGGATGGCTCCAAAGATTAATCAGTTGTAGATGTACAACCAATGATTCATTGCAGAACGTTTCAATAAAAATTATCAATTGGTTTGTGAGATATTTTTGCTAACAGACAGAACAAAAGTTTAAAGTTTTAAATGAAAATTTGTTTTCAATCTACTATTTGATTTGTGTTGGGGATCAGTCTCAGCTACCACCACACTAAATCTTAGAGCCACTATCTGTGAAACTGACTGAGTTATAGTCATTTTTTAATGGTTGTACACTCAWAAAACAGATATAATGGATTTAATTAAAAAACATGTAACATATTTTCACTCAAATGTATTGAGAAAAGGTAACACATGATGTTAAGTAAATGTAAAGCAACCTTTACTCAGTTCAGTTAAGTGGGAAACCAGTTGACATAATATTAAAACCACTACATCTGTTTTTTGAGTGTAGCTCTTGAAGTGGGCTGAATCTGCCCTTTTATCTTACCGGACTTAAAGTAAATGTTGGCGTGTTTGGTGCTGTTGCAGCTCTTGGTGGAGGCCACCAGTGTTGCAGAGTACTCGAGGCCGCAGTGAAGCTTCACGGAGCAGGAAGTGTCGTTGGAGGAGCAGGACGCCACGTGTCCGTCCTCTCCTGTCGCCTGAAGCCTGTAGAAACATGCGCCGCTGCTGTTCATCCAGGAGAAATTCCCATTGTTTGTGCCGCAATCCACACGAACACTTAGGTTTGTGGGCTGGCAAGGAGCTAAAAACAGAAATGTGTGATCAGTTCATTTTGCGATACTTTTTTCCTCCCRCTGCAGCGTGCTGCAGAAAAACACCCTACCTGTACTTATTTCCACAGGCTGACTGAAGCGGCTCTCGCAGTTTGCCTCCTGAGCTGCGATGCGGAAAGAATATCTTTCCCCACACAGCAGGCCAGACAAAGACAGTGAGGTGTCGGAGGTTTGGTGCTCTGTTAAAGAAGGGGATGTGCTGTGCATCATGTCCTGCTGTAGAACGTATGTAGCTCCTGACACTGGGCTCCATGAGAGGATCACAGTGTTGGTGTCACACAGAACTCGGCCAGTCAGGTTAGCAGGTGGACACACAGCTGGAACAGACACGAAACAGGTCAAACATTAACTTTTAGAAATTCTGCAATTACATGTGACTAAGTTCTAATATAATAACCTTGGTGTTATTTTTGATCAGATTCAAGATATATCTTAACCCCCACATTAAAAATGTAACCAGGACCGCTTTCTTCCACTTGCTTATCACTAAAATTAGAAACATCTTGTCTAAAAATGATGCAGAAAAAATGATCCATGCGTTTGTCAAGTCTAGATAGGATGTGTGCAATTCTTTATCTTTTTAAGAAGTCTTCAGTTGATCCAAAATGCTGCTGCTAGAGTTTTAATGAGAGTTGGAAGGAGAGATCATATTAGCTTCTCTCCACTGGCTCCTTGTCAAATTCACAATAGAATTTAAAATATTACTCCTAACATATAAAGCTCTTAACAACCAAGCTCCATCATATATTAAACATCTTATTGTTCCATATTTTCCTAACAGAGCACTTCGTTCTCAGACTGCAGGTTTACTTGTGGTTCCTSGAGTTTCTAAAAGTAGAATGGGAGGCAGAGCTTTCATTTATCAAGCTCCTCTCTCGTGGAACCAATTTCCAGTTTCTGTCTGTGAAGCTGACACTGTCTACTTTTAAGATTAGACTGAAGACTTTCCTTTTTGATAAATCATATAGTTAGGCTGAGGTTTCCTGAGTTATTCCTTAGTTCTGCTGCTACAGGCTTAGAATGCTGGAGGACAAACTGAGCACATTTCCTCACACATTATTTCGGTCCGTGATAAATTTCAAAAGTCTGCCATAAAAATAGAAATAACTCCGCTGTCTTTGTTTTCTGTTTAGTTTGCTGACGGTGTAATGAATCGTGCAATATCACTGGCCACGCGGGAAACTCAGCTGCGGCCTATGTTTACGGCTTTTGTTGATCACATGAGGCTCCTATGAATTGGGACAGCCTATGGCACGGCACCGTGATGTAAGCAGCCAATGCATTCGCCCTACGTGGGCTGCAACCCCCTGATTTGAGACACAGCCATAGTGATCATTCAACGCAATCTGCTGGCTTCCTTAGATTGTTTGTTGTGACTATACAGAAAATAAAAACTTAACTGAACTGAATTAAATCCAACAAAAGAGCAAAAAAAAATCTGCTCATCGCACTAAAAAAAAGGCTTACCGGCCTTTAGCTGCACTGCTGAGCTGGGCTCGCTCCAGCAGCCTTGATCCACTGTTACAACCTGAACCGAGTAGATTTCCCCACAGTGGAGCTCAGTGAAGTTGCAGGAGTTTGAAGAGTTTGAGCTGCAGGTGTGAGCGTAGCCATCCTCTGCAGTTGCCGTCGCGATGAACATTTCTGCCCCGGGTACGTTTGACCAAGAGACGGCGCTGTCCTTACAAACCGTAGACACGGTGACGTTACTGGGAGCGCAGAGTCCTGAAGAGAAGGGAGGCGAGTGTTTAATGTCACCTGTCTGAACATGATGGGGATAATTTCACTCTGTATATTTGTGCACCTGCTCTGAAGTTGTAGGCTGTGCTCGGGGTTCCTGTGCACGACAGGGAGTACGGTGTGACTGTGGCGCTGTAGGTTTCACCACAGGGGAGGTCAGGGATTTGACAGCTGGTGGAGCCAGTTTGGCAATGGTAGCTGACTCCACTCTGACCCGTCACAGTCACGTTGTATCCGACAGCACCAAGACTCCCCGTCCACGATATCAGGGCTGAGTGGTTGGAGCACAGGATGGTGGTGCTCACATGCTGCGGGGCGCATGGGGCTGGGTACAGAAAAACAAAGATATTTCATGTCATTCTGGGGACTTTATTAATTCAMTCTCATGTGGAACACAAACAAAATCACTTTTTTTACCTGTCTGAAGGGGTTCGCTGACACTGACGCCGCTGTCGCACTCAGCTCCCTGAGCTGAGACACTTACGTTGAAATCCAAACCACATGGAAGATTTTTGAACACGCAGGTTGAGTTTGCTGTGCGACAGCTCTCTTGATAGTCTTCTCCTACCACCTGAGCATAAAAGCTGATGCTTCCCGCAGGTTTAGACCAACTGACTGCAGCCGTGTTGGCTCCACAGGTGTACTCTTTGGATATGATCGCTGGAGAGCAGGGAGCTGAAAATAAGACAGTAAAAATGATGAGTTTTGAAGGCCGAGGAGGTAAAGCAGATGTAGTTGCGTCACTCACCTGTGGTAATGTCAATGCTAGATCCAGGTGTGCTGTCACARTGGTTTCCTTTGGCCGTGACTGTGGCCGCGTAGGTCTTACTACACACAAGGTCTGTTAGGGTGCATGAACCTGTGACCGAACTGCAGGAACTGCTGGTCCCATCTGCAGCTGTTGCTTTGACTGAATATCCTGTGGCGTGAGCCGTCGTTGTCCAGGACAGAAGAGCAGAACGGTTGCCGCAGATCAGAGTGCTGCTTTGTATCGTCGGAGAGCATGGAGCTACGAGGGAGACACAAGAAAGCTGATCAGTGGTTGTTTTCGATGTTGCAGTTTTGATCAGTTGGTTATTTCGGACTTCTACCTGTTATCAGCACTCCTCTGGTTCCTGTGCTGTTGCAGGTGGCATCCTCAGCCAACACAGTCAGGTTGTAAACTTTGCCACACTGCAGGGGTTTCAGCTGACAGGAAGTTGTGCTAGTCCTGCAGGAAATGTACTGATCCGACGAGCCTTCCTGAGCCAGAACAGTGTAGGCCATAGCATTTGCCTTTTCAACCCAAGATACCACAGCTGTATCTGAGCTACACTGGAGGCTGCTGGTCACATTTATTGGATCACATGGCCCTAGAGGAACAGGTAGATTGAGGGTAGCTGCAGGATCACACAGTCAAATTCAAGTGTTTAAGCAAAGCTCTGTGTGCTACCTGTCATTGCAACAGTTTGAGTGGATTCACTGGGGCATAGGCTGCCCTGAGACGTTACTTTGACGCTGTAGGTAGTGGCACACTGCAGGCTGGAGAAAGAGCATGTGAGATCTGACGTGGAGCAGTTTTCTGAGAAGCCACTGGGGCCGGTCACTGTTGCTGTGTAAAACAAGGCACCAGAAGAAGCACCCCAGGAGGCGACAAGAGAGTTTGCACCACATCCTGTCACCGCAGTTAAACTCTGAGACGAACAGGGAGCTGAGAGAAAAGATGCAAGAAATCCCATGGAAAATACAGTTTATGTTTTATAGACAGGTGAATGTTTATGTTATAAACATCCTTGCTACCTGTGTGGACGGTCTGTGCTGAGCTGTAAGGTCCACTGCAGCTGCCAGATGAGGCTTTGACAGAAACATTAAAAGTCTGTCCACACAGAAGACCACTGAAGACACAGCTGGGGTTGTTAGTGTGGCAGGTGAGCAGACTGGCATTGTTATCCAGAGACTTGGCAATGACGCTGTAGTTTAAGGGCAGTGGAGAGGAGATCCAGCTGACCATGAGGTCACTGGAGCCGCACAGCAGATTTGTAGTGACGTTCTCTGGAGCACAGGGAACTAACAGAGACAGATCATTGTAAGGAACTTAAATATCTGAGAAAACATTGGTAGATAATGGGGACACAGCCAGAGCTGTAGCTCCCTCTGGTGATGACTAATGAGTATAACAAAAACTTACAATAACATTTTGATGTAATTTTGGTAACTAATAGCCATTATGACAAATKGTTTTTCTTGCATCAGAGACAACAGTTCAAAAGTAATATTTGCTATGAAAATGTAAAGAAGTGCTGTAACCTTGTCATCAAGAAACCGAAACATGCAGCAATCCAATGTCTTAACAAAAAAATCTTTCATACTCTTGACAAATAGTCTCCTAAAAAGGGATCAAGGATGCCTTTCTCTCACTACCTTGGTCTTGCCTGAAGGGGGTGCTGGAGTTGCTGACACAGGTACCATCGGAGGCAGACACTTGAATGTCATACACTTGGCCGCAGACCAGGTGACTCAAAGTGCAGTTAGTGGAGGAGCTGCTGCAGGTGATCGTTGGACCTTGGCCGGTAGCCTTTACATCGTAGCTCAACGCGTTCGCAGTGGGGGTCCAGAACACCCAAGCTGCTCTGTCGCTACACATCAACTGACTCGTCACATTGTCTGGAGGGCATGGCTCTGGGAAGGGAAGCAGAATCAGCTTCAGACATTGTCCAAGAGGCTAACTTTGAAGGACACTAAACTTTCAAGGTGTTTAGATAGACTATGATGCAGAGTCGAACTTGTTTTTTTTTTTATATAAATAGCATTTCCATAACAATGGAAGATAACATWATTACTTGACYGTGGTAMAAAATTGAACTATGTGCCTGGAAAAAACCCAATACCCCCCTCATTGAAAATACCCTCAAAATTGAAGTCATTATTATTGGTCAGAATTGCATTACCTGTTTTCAGGGTGTGCGTGCTGCTCTGTTGACCTGTACAGGTGTCATCAGCCCCTGCAACACTGATGCTGTAAGTCTCTCCACAAAGTAGTCCAGAAAGGTTGCAAGAAGTGTTGTTGGTTGTGCACTCAGCCCTGTGACCTGTGCTGCTCTCAGCCACGGCAATGTATTGTTTGGCATTACCACTTGAAGTCCACAACACAGGGACAGGATCTGGAGCACACCTGTGCACAGTTGTGACATCGGTGGGAGGACACGGCACTGAAAAAAAAAAAGAAAACTGAAGATAAGTATCTAACAAAACCCTTCTGCCAGATCCTTGTCCCTCTTTGTAGGCTTCTTACATGTTTGCACGGTGATCTGTGAGCTTGGCAGGCTGAAGCACGTCCCATTGACGGAGAAAACGGTCACTGTGTACGCGTTTCCACACGGCAGACTTCCCGTGGTGCATTGGGTCCGAGAGGAGTTACAGTAAAGATTCTGACCTATTCCACTGGAGATAATGGTGGTGTAGTTCTCTGCAGGAACTGAGATGTTCCACGTGACAGTCAGCTCGTTTGTTCCACAGCTGACACTGGCCTTCACATCCTCAGGACCACATGGCACTGAAACAAGAAGATACACAACATCATACACAGAGGTTTTGYGTCATCTTTCAAAGTTTTCACATGTTGATTTAAAGATGCATTACCAGAGTTCATGATGACATTTGTTGAGGTGGACACACAGTCTCCATCAGTGTAAGTGACAAAGACATTGTACTTTTTTCCACAAGGCACAGTGGGGATTGTACAGCTATTGCCTGTGTTGCTGGTGCAATTGAGGGAACTGCCACTTTGATCCTGTATTATTGCGGTATGGAGACCCAAAACCTGTTGGTCCTGCCAGAGAATCACAGCATGATTTGCATCGCAATCTCTGGATGCATTTATATTTGTTGGAGGGCAAGGTCCTGGAGGAAAAGCAGGGGTTCAAATGATGTTAAAGTTCTATCTTTTCATTAAAAAGTTACCAAATAATCATTTTTTTATCTTGTCTTGATCTGACAATCACCTACCTGTTGAAAAAATGGCCTCTTGACTGTCTGTGCTGTTGCACATGAGATTGGTACCAATAACTTTAGAGGTATAAATCTGTCCACAACTCAAGCCTTGAATCAAACAGCTGTTACCCAGTGAGTAGCAGTAATAGTAATTTCCAGTTGCGTCTTCAGCAACAGCAAAGTAAAGTAATGCCCCATAGCTCTGCATCCAGGAAACGGTGGCAGAATCTTGGCTGCATGACGCTGAGGCCGAGACGTTGGTGGGAGTGCATGGAACTGCAGAGAGAAAGGTTTGTGTCAAAAATATACACACAGCGACAACTCAAGAACTATAACTTGGATCGAGCACTCTGATAAAGAGTCCATACTTGTCTGAGCAGATTGCCCCAGCACGTTGTCAGTGGAGCAGTGCTCATTGGAGGCAACAATCCAGATGCTGAGTTGTTGACCACACGGCACTCCGGTGATTGTACAGTTGTTGCTCATAGAGGAGCAGTTGTAGGTTTCCCCATTGTTTCCCTCCGCATTTACGGTGTACAACAACGCTCCTGTAGATGAGTCCCACGTCGTGACGAGGTTGTTAGAGCTACAGTCAGCATTTGTCTTTACGTTTGTTGGTAAACAAGGAGCTTTAAGGAGAAATCAGACACCACGCTTGTTATACGAAGGAATCAAATGTGGCTTTTTGGTTATGAGAAGTTAGGTACAACAGTGCCTCACAGAACAGAACAGGRTAAGGGAGATGGAACAAAAAGCTACTTACAGGTGGGAACAAACTTGGGTTCGCTGACTTGCGTGTTGCACCCAGAGCTGATGGCGTACACTGTGAATTTGTAGAACTGACCACACTGAGTATCGGTGAAGTAGCACACGTTGTCCAGAGTCTTACACTCTGTTATTGCACCAGTGCTGTCCGTAGCCTCAGCCACGTAGTATAAGGTGTTGTTGGTTGGCTGCCAGGTGTAAATGATGACGTTGGAGGAACAATCATGTTGAGTCTGAGTGAGAGCGGGAGCGCAGGGGACTGGAGAGGAAATACAAGGACATTACTTTTTAAAACTTAATTTAGTATAAAATAGATTTATATCCATTGTAAACTTTAGATTTATGATTCTATGCAACAAAATAAACAAATTTAAAAGGTGAAAGATAATGATAAGTGTTCAACTCCTTAGCACTTTATTTAAATAGCCCTGTATTCTCTCAAAACAAGCTGCTTTAAAGCAAGCATTGACCATAAACTACATCTCCCATAATGCATGCTGACRATTCTACCCSCAAAATAACYACATCCCACCATTAGGTCGAGGTGRACYCGAGTCAAATGTAGCCAATAGTTGGGAAAATTCACTGTGTAAAATCTCAATTTTGCTGCATTTTCACCAGCTATTTTTGCTATGGCCCACAGTTGTACTGGGAAGMGGGAATTTCTCAATTTCAAATTGTAAATTTCAARTGGAAAGCCCGTCCAATGGGTATTCCATGTCAGAAAGTACTAGAGTTCAGAATTCATGATTCGTGATTAAAACTCATACTTTTAATAGTATTTCTGTATTATTTATTTCACATTTAGTCAGTCGTACATATAGTACTTWTAGTGTTTATAAAAGTGAAGAAATTTATTGGGGTTGTTTACTACTGACTTTTTAAGACATTACACATTTTACATATATTCTTTTCTTAGGTGACTAGTTTTGTGATTAAATTGATGATTTTGTGTACAGACTGGTCTGGGTAGCTATAAATGATGGTTACACAGGGCATGAGGTACTAATAGATAAGAAACATGACTGAATACATATTCAACACATAAACGAACCGTGATAAACATTAGTTGTCAGGAAGAAATGAGTGACGTCTTGCCTCTGTGTAGATGTAGCCTGCCCCTTTAACACACTGTCTTGAGGCGGGGTCAGGACGTGAAGATGATTGTAAATCAATGTGTATTTTCCTGGTTCAGGCCACTGGTTAGTTGGAGGCAGAGACAAGCTACAGAGCTAAAGAAGCCTGCTTCTCGGTCCAATGCTGGTGYTGTATGACTCGTTTTACATTCAAACATTCACGAACACGTATTAATGTAAATGAACACGCCTAAATTATCTATTATCTTTCAAAAGGATGTGTTAAAACACTGTTTCTATGCACYAAATACCACATAAAGCTCAYTTATTMTTTGTTAGCGACYTTACAAAGCTCACYGCCATCTGTGAAAATGAGTTTGACACTCCTGTATCATCGACGGGTGTTGGAAGGCYAGATTTGTTTCCTGACGCTGCTCAGCTCAAGAACAAGTACAGAACATCATGTAAGGACCCTACACAGCTTCCCACAGGGCAGATTTCTGAGAAAGCATCCAGAAAGTGTATAGGTGTGTGTGCCACATAAAGAGGTAAAATGAGAAGCTTATGCATTCACAGACAACACAAACAGTTAATGGCAGATTAACACGATCCATGTTGGTTTTCATGTCTGCAGGCGCTGCTCTCACCTGTCTCGAACGTGGAGGTGACGTTGGAGGTGCTCTCACAGTCAGTAGAGATCGCCGTCACGTAGACCTGGTACTTCTCACCACATTTGTTTATGGGGATCTCGCAGCTAGTGGAGGTTGAAGTGCAATTCAGGGAGATGCCCGTGCTATCCACAGCTGTGGCCCTGTACGAGGTGGCCCCAAACACCAAATCCCACGTAGCGGTTACAATGCTTTGGGAGCAGCTGTAGGTCGCAGAGACTGTTGTCACTCCATTAATTGCTGAGGGAAAAGGTTGGAACACAAGAAAAGATTGTTTAACTTGAAAAAAAAGTCATATTATCAGATAAAATGTCAACTTTAGCATTTATGCATGAGTGAACAAATGATGCAGCAAAACCTCTGATTAATCCTGCATAAACTGATTTGGATTCATGTTTGTGGTTTTATTAGTAGTTAGTWCTTTAGCAACCAAGTATGAAGCAAATGACAAAAGCTCTGCTAATACTCCATGTGAAATTACCATTATTCCTTTAATATCATCATGGTTGAACAGTAGACTGACAGGTTTTCTTCCTGGAGCTTAATTACTCTGAACCATCATCATTTCTTTCAGCCCTGGTTTGTTGCATTTACACTTAAATCTGAAGGTTCTGGGCAGATTAGGCAAATTTACACACTGACTGCATTATTGCAGCTGGTCAGATGCAGCTAAATTAATCAGAGATGGTAATGGTTTACATAATTACTCACTAGCAGTGGTATATCCTATATTAGATGGCTCTCCAGGGTCCAGGAAGGCATTTACTGATGAAACTCCCACTATGAAGGTGGAGCAGGGTTCCAAGTTATTGATATCCATGTAGGTGGCTGATGTTGTTTGGATGACCGGGGCGTTGCTGGGGTGTTTGGTGTCGGTCACACTCACTTGGTAAATCAGGACTTTGTTAACAGGGTTCCACGTTACTCGAGCTGTGCTCTTTCCTGTTMGCATCAGAGCCACACCGGTTGGTGGCTGCACCACTGTCAGCAAAGAAAAACGGTTTGCAATCATTTGTGCTGAAAGTTCATAAACTGCTCTTCATGATGAGAATTTGTTTCATTAAATAAACTTCACATGCACTTACAGGTTAATATTGTCCTTATGTTGCTTTTGGCTCCTCGTCCTGCGCGGTTGAAGGAGTAAACGTAACACGCGTATGTTGTCGAGGGAGTCAGGCCGTCCACCTGAGCACTGGTGGTTGTGTAGGTTTTATTGTAAATCTTTGCTGTAGAAGTCATTGTCTCCTCGACAAACAGGATGTAGCTGTCCGCCCCTGTCACGTTCGTCCACTCAAACTTTATGGACGTGCTCGAAAGAGCTTTGGAATATGTGAACTGGGACGTAGCAGGCACTGTGGGGACACGAGAGGAGGAATTCAGGATCATTTTCAGCTGCATTCAACCCTTGTTCTGGTTAGTTTTCAGGGATGTTTCCTCACCTGTCATGGTTACATTGATGGCTGTGCACAGAGGATTGTACAGAATCTCAAAGGCCTTCACTGTGACTTGGTACAGTTGTCCTGATCTTAACCCCTGCACCAACCTCTTGGTGTTGGGGGCTGCCTGCATCAGTACAACTGGGGGGACACTRGTTGAGTTCACAATTCTTAAATCTAAAAGATAAACAGAAGCTCTAGGGTAGCTATTCCATTCCACATTCAGGGTAGATGCTGAGGGAGACGTCAGCGTCACAAAGGTGCATCCTAAAAACAAGAGACAGGAAACATTCAGCATGAATGTTTGCAGAAGAAAAACGTACTGCTGCAGGTACATACTGTATGTCCCAAATGTGCACAGGTGCAATATTACTGTTTGGCCATAATGGTAATGGTAATGGTATTTCATTTAAAATATGAACATTGTTGGTTATTTTTTTCTGTTAAGTCCATCTAATATTTTGTAGGAACATATTTTCATCAATTTCATGTTGRAGATTCATTAAATTTCCAAAGAGCCTTATTCTCAAAAACATGCTTGTGCATTTTGAACATATTATTTAGTCTAAATATTTGTGTATGATTATAGTGAATACAATATTTAGGTCCAAATCTCAATCTCTGCAGGCATTTCATTTATAAACAAAATATAATACTACACACTGGAGTTGAAAAAATAAAAAAAAAGTTACCAACAAATTCAAATATTTATATCTTTATCAGTCTGGAGGTTTAGAAGAAAATGATACAAAATGGAGGTCTCACCTGAAGCCACACCATAGTATATCTAAAAAAAAGAAAACAATGCATTTATAAGAAACATGACAAGAAATAAATCAGATTAACAGGAAAGTAATCAGTTAAGCTGATTGTGCTTTTAAATACCTGTATGACAGACAGAAGGGCAAACGATAAGTGAAATATCCACATCTTATCTCAGTGTTAATCCTCCAGTGGTTTGCACCTGTCTGCACTCAGCAGCTCCTCTGAAATCGTTACTGTTTGACTGCTGTACCTCAGCCTCATGACAGCCAATCAGCACGGCCCAAAGGAGGACAGGTGGATTCCCACAAACTTCCCGTCATCATGAGTAAAAAGATACAGATTGAAATATTTTACACCTAAATCCCCCTCCTCCTCCTCCTCCTCCACTGTATTGTGTTCCGACTACACGTCTTTTAAAAACATGGAATGGTTCATTACTGTCACCAATATGCTTTGACTCATATACAGTCATTTYTAACTATCTTTAAACACAATAGTTCACTTTAATTGGATCCAAACTGCAATGTAGAAAAATAATCTGACTTTTGTTGAAAATACTCTGACTCACCTGACTTACCTGATGTCATTGTTAATGCATTRATGAGCGTTAATAAATAAAGTTGACTACATTTTTTTCTTTTGATTTTCTTGTCAATTCATCCATCATTTTAAAGGAACGGTATTTCTGTCCTAATAAATCCCAAATCTTGACCTAGTGTTTGCAAAGTACAAACTGCATTTCACTTGAAACACTTTCGTTCACTTGAACAACTTTTACTTGAGTTTCAGCACAAAAACACTCAGAAGAAAMGGATTTATTAATGACAAAAAGCTACCATTATGTCAATAAAAATTACAGTTCAGTCTATTTTACGTTAATAGGGATTTTATGACAGATTGTCTCCAGAATCTTTAGTGAAACTGCAGATATAAGGAGAAAGGTTTGTTTGGAGAGAGGTGGAGCTCCTTTGAAGTATATGGTGAACTTGTTAATAATGAGACGGTTAATTAATTATAAGTTACACTTTTTGGTCATTTGACACTATTACACTTGCTATTTGAGTTTTATTGACTCCTGAGAAGAAAACAGATTTTTTTTAAAAAACACTGCACATTTTCATGAGGTGCTCAGTCTGCCATAAATCCCAGACACAGTAAAATAAAAAAATAGATTTCTCACACAAGTCTGACTGAATCAAATCACCTGTCTAACATTTCAACATAAGATTGTTTGACTCTAGAATYGAAACATATTTAATAATTTATCCTATTTCTATACGTTTAGGACCTGTGTGAGGACTGTTTTCTGTGGTTTTGTGTTTTGTGAGCTGAATACTAAAACCGTTTTATTCCAGATTAATGGAAGAACCTAACAAACTGAAATGAAAATATTTGTGATTGATTAGGTTTTAATACTCCACGACAGGAGATTWATCAGACGAATCCTGTCAGTCATTTATTCTTTCAAACAAAGAACATCAATGGTCTTTGAAATGGCAAAGAAAACAATCTCATGACTCTAACAAAATACAGCATGAAAAATAAAGAGAAAATTTTAATGTTTGACATGAATATGGTTAATTAAACAACCGTATCATCAGAATTACATTCTTTTTAAATGTTTACAGTGAAGTGATGTCCTGGTAAGATAATTTATTTTTATATCACAAAAGCAAAAAATAAATTACACCTACTGTTATTTTTAGTTTACTGATAGCAGTTCTTGCAAAAGTGWTCATTTTCAGAGCTCACCTAAATACATTAAACATGAGAGCAAAAGTTGTAGAAAAGTGTTCTAATCACTAAAACAATTACAGATTTATTTATACTAACTCTACCAGTAATTTAATTTTAAACTGTATACACAGTAACAAAAAATCTTTTCTGTTGTTTAACATATAGGATATAAAATTATTTTATAAGCAGGTTTTAAATTTGATCCCCTGGCTTCAAGGGTTTCTGGTATGAAAATTCATTTCAAAGCTCACATTATTCTGCTTTGACTGTAGATGTGATCATTTGTTGTGCGTCGTGGAGAAAAAGTCGACACCTGGTTGTGATTTTATTTTCTGGATCCTAATCCTCCACGTGTAATGCATCTGCTATGTTGGAACCAAACGTTCAAGTTATAGAAATCCAGCCAAAAATCTGGTTTTGACAGCTGAGATCTTTTAAGGTAAAGAATCTGAATCAGCAGAAGTGCATGTAGGAGATTTAGTAAAAACTCAACCAAATCAAATCAAAATAAGTTTTCACAGAAAATCTACATCAGTGTGTGTCATACYCTAAATGCTAATTCAATGTACCTTTCGTCAAAAAGACTAAATGTCATTGAAGGATGTAGATTTTTGTTAAAACTGCACAAATCAGATTTAATTTTAAGTGATGTGTTCTTTAGAATAAACTAAACCAATTAGCTTTGCATTTTTGATTTATGTGTATATCTTTATAATAATACTAAAATTTCATTTCTTGAGCCTCTAATATTTTAAGTTGGATGTTTTTTTTGTTTGTTGAAATTAAATCTACAGACAAATCAAGCAGAGGATGTAATGTATTCACCCAGATGCACCAGAATACTTACTTCCTGAAAAATAAACATACAAACAAATAAATAAATCACCCTCACACACAAAAAAWTGATGCATAAACATGTTGCTTTATTGTCTCCATCTGCCAGGAAAGGGCAAACATATCCAGCTGAAGCCTGAGCAGCACTGAAATGTGTCCAGTAACACGAGCAGATGGATCATCCACAGAGACTGAACATGTGTGACTCCAGGCCCACGAGATGGATACCTGCTGTCCCACTTTCAGTTTGACCCGGTTCTGCTGGAACCAACCGGCCTGGAGACAAACTGCAGCCGTGTGGAGGCCTTCTACTTAGGGAGAACATAGAATATCATTTGTACAATTCTTTTCAGTGATTAACGAGATCAATTCGAGCAAAAATGTTGCTGGGAGACATCTGGAAGTTTCCATTACGTTTGAATTAAAGAATACATTTCTTCATTTAATGCCAGAGTTTTAGCCTATTAGATAATTTTTTTTATGATGGAGAGTGATGGAGTTGTAGACATTTTGGTCAAAGCTTGGAAATGGTTTTATCCACGGCACAGGCAGTATAGGCAAATGGTAAGGGCATTGTCCATCTAAGGGGTCCCAAAAATGGGGGATGAAAAATATATTTTGCGATTTATTTGTCAGAGTATAGTTAATTTAGTCTGTAGAATTATCACTGGTTACTGTGGGTTTCTCAGTCTGCTTTYTTACTACATGAGGTGTTATGGTGCAGAGGATATTTCATGATAAAAATATACGATGCAGTCAAGACACTACTGGGGCTCAGTGTGTGAATTGAAAACAAAATAAGGCTAATAGAAGTTTTAGTTATGATGTCAAATATATTTCAGGTTAAAGTTAAATGTTGATCTTATGTTGTTTTATTAAACCCAAGAATTTAGTAAAAAGTTCTTCAAATGGCTGGAAAATACACAGTTTTGAGTAGATCTTTTGCAAAATGTTCTGGGGGCGTATACCCCTGGACCCCCCTAGAACTGCTTCACTCCACAGCTGCTCGTTAACGTGAGCAGGTGTTCCTCATTGCTGTCAGCAGATGTTGGCAGGTATGAGGTAGACTTCTGGTATTCTCCTTCAAATTAATTATACTATTTTAATTGGACAACCTTGTTCCTAAAGATAAAAATAATATCAAAGACAAAACCATTTAATCTGATATGTGAATGTCTGTAAACTGAGTGAGATTTAGACAACTGCACTTGTAATCTTAACTAGGGCGCCATATTGGCTAGGTTCTGACTCTCAGCTACTACTCTGCCAAATTAAGTTCAGCATCTGTGAAACTGAGCGATAAGCTAATAACAATTAGCTTTGGCAGCCATCTTGMTTTGGGTTAACTTTCTGAAAATTTCATTAAAATCTATCCTCTGCTTCATGAGATAAATTGCAAATGCTTCAAACAAAAACACACTCAGACACAAAACCTTATCTTGACAAATGATAATTACCAAATATAAATCAAATTACATCAGAAATGATTAAATATTTGACAATTTACTTCTCTTTTAAACTGTAATTTTTTTAAATTGTCATTAAGATACTAAAATAATTCTCATAGTTTGTATCCTGTTTATTGTGGGTTGTATGGCTTTTGTATTGTTATATTTATCATAAAATATATTTATACTTGAGTTTTCTTTTCACGAACAATTCTCAGAGACATTTTTAAACATTTAGTAATAGTGTTTTCTTGCACTTTCCATGGTGTAAAACAGTCATTTGTCCTTGTTGGTGGATCAGATGATGTTCACTCTGGGGCAAGAGACAAAAAACAAAACAACAAAAAAAAAAACAGGTTTTACTGAAAACTTGAGAGATGAATTCTTTGTAAAACGTTATACACTGTAAATCAAAACATGTCTTATTCAGAGTTAGGGGCTGTTGTTTATGATCTTCTATTAACGTTCATCCCAAACACAATAAGATATCTGATTTTCATTCCTGCAGCAGCTTATCAGTTTTATTTCCATTTTATTCATCTTTTTATGTTTCATGTCCCTGAGGTAAAAAATAAACAAAGCTGCTCTTCCTGCTTTCTTTTACTCCCCTCAGACATTTACATTGTTCTGCTCTTGTGCAGCCAGTTTGAGTCTTCTGATGAAACTGTTACAAGGTAACCTTCAGGCTGTGCCGAGTCAGACAGTGAGTTTGTGACTGAAAACTGTTCTTATCAGTTTCTTCAACAATAAACTCGGGAGTGTTTTTCTTCACAAGAGACAAACAAGTGAAATGCAGGAAAAACTCACCAGAATTACTGCACACTTCGTCTTCTACGAGAGATTACTGAGGAAAGAAAGAAAAAATGCTTTCAGCACAGCCATTGTTTTTCAGCAGCTCATAAAGGAGTTCCAGTAAAGTGTAAAAAGGTTGAATCATCCTCATTTATTTTATTTTTTGATTTTGTCTCCAAGGAACTGGACTTTCTTGTTTTTTTGAAGTGGTTTTGATTTGTATTTTTAAAAGTGTTTCAAAGTTTTCTGTCCAGAACTGGACCATTTTCAGATTTACTTTTGCTTTTTTGTTTGTTTGTGTGTTAAGCCAGTTATCTCTGCCCTTATTCAGGAATAAAATGATGACAAAGGGAAGATTCAGAGAGTTGACACAGAACAAGCAACTTAGCTATTTTAAGCAGTCGGTCACATAAATGTGTTTCTCATTTTAGTGAAATCTTCAATCTGACAGAGTTTTGCGAATAGCTAGAAAATATGAAATTAACCTTTAAAAAACAAAAACAAACATAGCTGAAGTAGCTGAAATTAGCACAAACAGAAAGAGCAGATGTTTGCCGAATTAAGCTGTAAAGAGCTGAAATTATCACAAAAGGTGGATAAAGCTGAAAAAAGCACTAATTAGCTAAAAAAAAGGTTGCTAAAAATACAGAAAACAGGTAAAATGAGCAGAAAGTAGCTGAAAGGAGTATAAACAGCTTGAAATAGCTGAAAGAAGCTCAAAAAGTTGAAATTAACAGGAGAGTAGCACAAAAAGTCAGAATCATAGCCAAAAAAATCTAAAATCAGCAGATAAGGAGCAAAAGGAAGCTGAAATTAATACAAAATACTAACAAACCTGAACTAAAGATAAAATGTACAGTTAAGATTAAGGAATTAAGGAAGTTGAAGACAGCTCCATTCATTATCAATGAGAAAAACATGTCAGAAAAATCTTAATATCTCAAAAAGGATAAGTTGCTGAAGCACCAAAAGTCATAGCCAGAATGTCCTGAAGGAGCTGAATGTTTTGATGTATATAAATAGCTGAAATGGCACAAAAATTGAGGAAAGAGATGCAGGCCAAAAAACACAAAGGATCTCACTGTGAATCCTTGATAAGCTATGACTTGATACAACTGAGGATCAGCTGAAGGATGTTACATTTTTGTTTTCTACTTCCTAAAAATGTGACATTTAGATATTGTCTATCTGTTGTAAAAAGGTCTTTAGGCTCAACATTTTTTTCTGCCCTCTGTTCTCCTCTTTTTGAGTTGTCCAGGGTGCACCTCTCTTTCCCACTGACCCCAGTGGAAACAGGCACCAGCACTACAGGGTCCAACAAGCGTATAAAATAAACCAGAACCAGACTCAAGAACTATAAAATATTATAAAACTAGTTTATAAAATGTCCATCATATTGTTAGATAATACTCACTCATGCCAGCATTACTTCCAGGGCAGGGAACTGAGAATGCAACAAAAAATAAAGAAAGCATTAACAAACTCAGACAAACTTAGCCGTTAATTGTATTTTAGCAGACGACCCACCAGAATATTTCCTGGGAAGGCAGAAGGTGACTTTGAGCCCATCCTGRCCCACTGGTGCCACGACGACCGTGTACACATCCCCGCAGGTTCCCTCCTGGATATCGCAGTACGTGGTCCCCGCCGTGGCGTTGCAGGTGTAGTTGGCGCCGGTTCCGTACACCTCCACTATGTGTTTATAGGCCTGAGGACCCAGAGAACGCCAGTACACCCTGAGCGAGTTGTTTGTCCAGCGATAGAGCTTGACTCCGGTTGGACAGCAGGCACCTGAAGCAAAGAAAACGGGTGTTGCATTTGAATTTTTTATTAATTTTGTCCATTAAAACATGACCCTGAACATGGCCTATTGTGTGTTTGTCCTCACTGGATGAAAAGCCACTGTATGTGCACTGAGACTTGAGTCCCGTGGTGCTGATGGCGTCCAGGTTCACGCTGTAGTTGGTGCCGCAGGTGATGCATCCCATCAAGCAGTTGGTGTCCAGCGTGTGGCACTTGGCCTCTCCTCGTGGGGACATCAGGTGGGCTATGAAGGAGCGAGCGCCGCCGCTGGACGACCAGGTCACGTTGGTCATCGCCTGAGTGACCTGAGTCACCTTCACCGATGAGGGGCAGCACGGACCTTTGGAATAAAAATATGAGTCAATAACTTTAGACGTGTTGGACTTTGATTGATTTGTGTTACAAGTGACGGCCAGACTTGAAATAATGAACAAACAGCTGCATCAGCAGCTTCATTCCACACCTGTTTCCAGGGTTTTACTGAATCCAGGCAGACTTCTGCCTGCTGCTGTGGTGGCCATGGCTGTGACCCCAAAGGTGGCACCGCAGGGCAGCTGTGTGAGCTCACAGGAGCTGTTTCTTGTCTGACATGTCACAGTGCTGTAAGGTGCCGTGGCAGAGATGGTGTAGTTTGTGTTGCCTGAGTTCGGGGTGGTTATGAGGACTCTGTATGTTGAGCTGCTGGTCTGTGTCATGTTCAGGATCTCTGGAGTGCAGGGAGCTGCCYGAGGACAGGAAGGATGGAGAAAAGATGTGTAAACAACCCATAATCATGATGGATGAAAGGTTAGTTAACACAAATGYTACGAAATACATAAAACAAACAAGAACTTACCACAGATGTACCTGGTATTTACAGAGTACATATCTGGTAGGTGTTTAAAAAGTACCTTTTTGGTATTTTGTATGTAGCTAGTAGGATCAGTTTTGAATTTTTCTCAGAGCCCTTACTTACTAAGTACCTACCAGTTACATATTTGGTTCTTACTGGGTACATACSAGGTACATATTGAGTATTAACTGGGTACGTACCTGGTAGCTACATAGTACTTAAAGGTCAAGTATGGCATCTACAGAGTGTTTATGGAGTATGCACCTCATACTTACCAGTATATATCTGGTACTCATAAGAATACTTAATGAGTACATACAAGATACATACTTGGTACTTACTGGGTACATACCAGGTACATATTTAGTTTTTACTGGGTATGTACTTGGTACCAATAAAGCACTTAAAGGTAAAGTACTTGCCACTTAAAGGGTATTTACTGGGTATGCACCTCATACTTACTAGTACATACCTGATACCCACAAGGGTACTAAGAACGTACAAGGTACATGCTCGGTACTTACTTGGTACATACCAAGTACATATTGTGTATTTACTACCTGGAAGCTACATAATACTTAAAAGTTAAGTACCTTGCACTTACTGGGTATTTACTGAGTTTGTACCACATACTTACAACTATGTACCTAGTATTCACAAGAATACTTACTGAGTACATATCAGATTTGACCTTGGTACTTACTAAGTACATACCTAGTACTTACTAGGTACATCCCTGGTACTGAACACTTACTAGAAATGTACCTGCTACTTAGTACATATCACGTTCATAGGGTATTTACAGAGTATGCACTTGGTACTACCAGTACTTATTTGGTACCTACAAGGGCACTTACAGTATACATACCTGGTACTTATCTGGTACATAATCTGGACCTACAGGGTGCTTYCTAAATACAAACCTGGTAATTTCCAGGGGTACAGACCTGGTAAATTTGAAGTGCCAAACTTATGTACCTTGTAAGTACTGACTGTATCATGTAGTGTTACAAAATAAATGAATGTATTTTGTCTTCATGAATCTCCCTGCAGGTATGAGATGTTTCATCRGACCCTTTGATACCTGTCTCTTTTGTGCTCGGTGCACAGGTGAGGTTACACCCTCGCAGCTCGCTGCAGGGGGTCACCGTCACAGAATAGGGCGTGTTGCAGTGCAGATCGGACAGCGCGCACACKGGAGACGTGTCGTTGCAGTGGACGATGCCGCCAGTCTCCACTGCGGTGGTCTCGTACACCTCTGCCCCTTTGACCGGCGACCAAATGACCTCGAGGGTCTCGGTAGACACCAGCTTCACAGTGACGTCTTGTGGACAACAGGGAACTGAGGGGGAAACATGAGTGGTTTAAATCATTTAAGAAAAAAATAAGTGTGTAACTTTGAGTCAACAGGTGTTTCTTGTCTCATATTTCATTGTGTGGTGTCCTGTGGGATTGATGCTATCGCTGCTTTTCTTGRTTTACAGGAAATATTTCACAAATCTGATAAAGCACACAAAGGCTGGACTCCATTTGCCCTTAAAAGTTGAATCTCTGTGTCAGGGTTATGGTTGGAGGCTGCACACCTGCAGCTGGTTATAATAAATACACCTGCACTCTTCCCATCTTTGCACCCCCAAAGAAAATAAAGAAAGTATTTTCAGAACTTTGCCACAGATGAGATTACAGAGATGTTCACCAGATGTTTGAGCCGTTTTACTTGTGATCCACGACTTTAGCATAAAAACAAAATAACTCGTGTGTTTCATTTGAGAAAATATTTGCACAAACTGTGTTTTAGTAAAACAGACAGGATAATGATGTCATTTTCTCACTGGTTGTGTAGTTGCGGACGTTTGCGACGAGGCTGGTGCCGGCCTGGTTGTAGGGGAACACGCTGGTGAGGTACGTGTAGCCGCACACGCAGAAGAACGGGCAACTGGCCTCGGTGGTGTTGCACGTCTTCTCTATCCCGTCGTCCCTCTTGATGAAGGTTATGTAGTAATCCACCAGTGGCACCTTTTCCCACATCACAGAGCAGTTCCCAGCTGTGGGCTCCTCCACCCAGATGTTATCTGGGGGACAGGGGTCTGTCGGAGGAAGAGAAGCAAACGATGAGATTGCAGGCTGATTTATCTTTAGTTTAAGACTAGAATTATGTGTGTGCATGTGTATATGCATGTATATATTAGGGGTGCAACAATATATGTACCTGTATTGAACCATTCAATGCAGTGCTTTAGGTTCAATACACACTTGTATCGAACTATACAGATTTTAATTTTAATTTTGTCAGCTTGTCTTCTGAAGATGCTCTGTGTTTAAGAATCAGTTGATCTGTGTTCGACTACTCCTAGGCTGCATTTTCGAGTGCAGATCCACTGAGAAACTTGCTGTTATTCAGCAACATTTAATTTAAAAACTGTACTTTTGAGGTTAAACAAATGTTCAGAATTAGTTTAAATAAATTACAAGTCAAAAAGGGAGTGGAAATTTCTCTTTTTTTGGTGTCGAAAAAATATCGAACCGCGAGACTAAAGTATTGAACCGAATCGATTCGTGGATTTTCTGTATCGTTGCACCCCTAGTACATATGTATATGTGTGTATTTATATATATATGTATACGTGAATGTGTGTATGCGTACACATATAAATGTGTGTATATTTTTATTTTTATTCATTTTTTTAAATAGGGGCAGACATTATAAGATTTTTTTTCTTCTTCTGCTTCCTTTCATTTTATGAGATTTGTGTTTATTTTTTTGTTGCATTGAAATTTTTGTTTTTAATCGAAATGAATAAACGATTAAACTAAAAAGGAACTAATTTGGCTGGTAGTTGTGTCTGGGTGTGAGGAACCTACAAGTGATGTAGTTGGTGGGTTGTGAGGGGCTGCTGGGCCCGGCCTCGTTGTAGGCTATCACAGAGACCGTGTGGTTCTGACCACACTCCTGAGGAAGGATGAAGCAGTACGTGTTGTCTGTAGAACAATTTTGACCGTTGGATGTCCAGGCCAAGTAGTTTTTGGCCCCTTGCACATATACCCAGTAGACTGTGATCCCAAGAGACCGGCCCTGAGTCACCTCGACCAAGGTCACATCAGGGCTGGAAGGACCTGGTAAAAAAAACAATAATAATAATTTTATGAAGTACTTGTAAAAAATATACCTAGGATTGTGCACTTTAGGGTTTTGTTTCAGTCYTTTTGTTCGTACGTGTGATCTGGCAGACGGTGAGGTCGTCCCCAGGTCGGCCGTCAGAGTCGTAGGCCGTGCCCTTGATGCAGTACGTGGTTCCTGCCTGGAGGTGGTCAAAAGTCATAGAGGTGTTGGTGGTGTTCAGCTTCAGGCGGGTGCTGGAGCCCTCCATGATGATAACCAGCGAGTAGAGGGCGGCGTTTTTCACGGGGGGCCAGGTCACAAAGATGGTCTCGTTGCTCGGTGAAGATGTGTTCAACTGGGGTGCAGTCACAACTGCAAACAAGATCCAATAGAACAATTCACATAAAGAAACAAGGCCCTCACTTCTTCATGCTGTACTTTGTTTTGTACAAAATATAGAAGAATTTTTCTGCGATCATATTACATGAATTTTCTTTTCAGGAGTCAACCTAGTTCCCAAGGTTTCTGTTTTCAAGTTATGAAAATGCAACGGAACAAAAAGATGGATACAGTTTCCAACACCTTGCGTCGGATGTAACAAGCGGAGAATGTGTGACAATGGGGCAGTGAAATGATAAGCTGTTACTGCCGGGGCATCAAGATACCAAGTCATTGTTCAGCTGGAACAACCGAAGGYGCTGCGTGTGACACTGATTATCATCAGCAGTGAACTCCTAAAGGACACCATGTGCTAAGAGTACTGCTCGTCTTYTTGAMCACARRGGATCCATTCATTAACCTTCTATCTGAGATACTCAGCAGCTCACTCGAGGTGTTTTACGGTAGTTTTCTCGTACCTGTCCTGGCCTCGGTGGGGTACGAAGGCTGACTCCGTCCCCCTGAGTTGACAGACATGACGCTCAGGATGTAGTCCGTGTAGGGCTGCAGCTGCACCACGGTGCCCGGGGAGCTCGGCACACTGGTCTCAGAAAAAAAATCCCCTGTCTTTGACTCGGCCCTCAGGATGTAGCTGGTCGCCCCGGTGGAGGTGGTAAACTCAACAGTGATGCTGTCGCTGTTTTTGGAGTAGGCCTGCTGGATGCTCGGGATATCAGGAGCTGCAGAGCAAGCAAATAAATAAAATGAGAGAGCAAGATTTGTCAAAATAAAAGTCTATGAATTACAGTTGAATTCACAAAAAACAAGTTAACACATGCTGTCTGCTTTTAAATGTAACAAAAGAGTTATTTTCCTGTGAATAGATCCTCAGATTTATACCTCAGAAAATAAAGTTTTTCTTTTAGAATCATTAACAAATATTCTGTACAAAGAAACCTAATTTGGTCAAATTTAGAATTAGGATAAAATGTGCACTCTTTTAGGCCACTTTCACTTAATGTCACTTATTGTTTAATAAGTTGGTTTAACAGATATACAGTTATTAATTTTGAATTACCTAAATACAAAAATATAAATCAACTCCAGCATATACTTTTTTATGCGTATACAGTATAATTGTCCCTTTTTAAACAAGTAAGTTAAAAAAATAATAATAAAATCAAACACGTTGCCTTCTTGTGTGTTTTGTTTAAGCAGTTGTGGGCACAGTTCCCCTAAAGCACTAATAGGGGTACTCATTTCCTGATTAGTGCTTTAGGGCTTTTGCTTATTTTAAAATGTATTAGTGGATTAGCACTTGCTAAATTTGCAGGCTAAATTTAGAAGCACTAACTGAGGTCTATAAATGTTATTAATAAACATTAACATTAACAGCTGATGGTGAAAACTGTCACACATTTTGTTCATGTGCCACTGATCCACCAGGTGACAATATATGAACCCAAATAAGGCTGTGGGATGTCAATGATAAGTCTTAAGAGAGCAGCATGGCAATATGTGACTCGTTTGCTGAAGAATGTTCATGGGTTGACTGGGTTATTTTAGTGCTTTGGAATTAGCTTTTGCTAAAAATTTTCAGTGCGTTAGTGCTTTAGAATTAGGGGACCTAAATATTTGAGTAAGTGTTTCAGGGCTAGCAGAACTAGTTTTCAGATCAGTTTTAGTGCTGCCCACCACTGCAAAATAAGTCAAAGTGATGCTGTTTAACTAAAGTTATTGAAAATGAATCTTAAATTCGTAATTTGTCATTACTCAATAACAAATTTATCAAGCAAAGATGTGAGACTGTTGTGCTTCTTG